CAGTGGGCACAATTAAATATCCCCAACCTCTGCCCAATCCCCAATCATAAATCATCAGTGAAGAAAACCATCTCAAAGGGAACAATGGATCTGGAGTCCAGCTCTCCCCTGAAGGATTGTTAGGCCGAACAGAGTTAGAGCATATAATGCTCAGCCACTGCAGTGACTCCTGCCTATGGCAAAACTAGTTCTGAAGGAGACTTAAAAAGTACATGAGTTTAAGGAAAATAAAGCGTGATTTCAAATGATTGGAAGAAAAGGCAAAAAAAGGTGACAAACCAGAGGACTGGAGCCTGTGGAAGTCTGAACCTCTGGAGACAGACCCACCTCCATTCAAAACATGCCTCTGCTACTTACTAGCTATGAGGCCTGGGTCAGTGAGTGACCCCTGGAGACTCAGTTTCTTTATCTATAAAATGGGTTCTCTGGAACAGCAGCAGTGCTTAAAATGTCAATTATCCTGGGGCTCTCCTTGGTGTCGCAACGGGTTAAAGCACTGAATTTTGAAGCTCTCTAAAGCCACGGCAGCACGAGTTCAATCCCAGCCAGGGAGCTGACCCACATGGCGTGGCAGACCTCTCCAGACTTGCCTGCTGTTCCCCTCAGCAGTACATTTCAGTAGATCTGCCTGTTCTGCTCCCCACTCTGTCTCTGGGAAATCCTTTCACCCACCGCACCTCTGGCCTGTACCCCAGTTCTATAAGCATAAATAAATAACTCCTTAAAAAAAGGTCAATTATCCTGTCTTTGAACACTGATTAAGGATACAGGCCAAATGTCCTGAGCTCCTGTGACTATGCTTGTGCCCTGTGCACTTGCCTAGTCGTACTTAAACTTTCCTGTAGCTGGAAGGAGACAAAGCCAGAAAATCCCTGAGGTGTGTCCCAGTTGCCATTGCTCTGACTGTGGTCTGCGAAGCCTCATCAGCCAACACATAATTCACATCTGCTGCTCTTTTCTATATCTGCAGAGCAGCCCCGTTCCCAGGCTGCTCCCCCACTTCCCTCTCCTCTCTTTGCCTTCCATGCTCCTCCTCTTCCCTAATCTCATGCAAAGTGAATGGCATGGATAACTCTTTCTCAGAGAGGAAAAAGCCTCACTAGTGGGATTGCAACAAGACCATGCTAGTCTACCCTTATTTACTGCCATTATACAATATGCACGTGTTCAGCAATTTTAAAAATATATTTTCATAGCATGGACCTCGACTCCCCACTTGGGTACAAAATCTTTTACGATTGGGCTCCTGACTATCTTTCAGTGTCCGTTTTTGCTGATCCCTAGGAAAAGGGTAAGCTGGAGCACCGCCCCCCTCCACACGAGGCCCACCCCATCCTTTCTCCCATTTTTGCCTTCTCTTTTGCCGCCTTCTCATCCTACTCTCCTCTTTCTGCCTCTCCCCTCCTGCCCTTCCTTTCTCCTCCTCCTCCTCCTCCTCCTTTCTATTCTCCCCTGGGCATCATCACTTCCTCAAAGGGTGCCAGCCAGGCTGCTGCTTCTTCAGCTCCAGCCTCGGCCTCCCTCCTTCCAGGGCCTGGTAGGAACACGAAGGGGTAACATTTCCCACTGGACAGTGTACAAGGGGGTGGGGGACATGCCGGCCTCACCACACCTCTCCCTAGCTCACGAGCTTCCTTCTGCATGTCCCTTTCTGCTGCCCTTCCCCAAATGCAAAGGGCATGTCTGTTGTCTCACATCCTCATGCGCTGCCTGCAGCCTGGGCCTTCTGCAGCACAGCTCACATCTCCCTTCCTTCCTGCTGCCACTTCTGGCTCTACTTCCGCTGTGTGTCCTCTGAACTCATATACAACAGCCTCTGTCAGTTGAGCCCAGGACCCTCTCCCGGCCGCCATCATCCTCCAGCAAAGCCGAGCCGCTCCCTCTGACTCATCACTGTTCTTGGAGGCCTCTGCTGACTGCCCTCCATTACCCTCTGGCAGAGCTACCAGGTGTTCACGACCTGCCGTGATACGAGTGAGCCCCAGGCTGCTCAGAGCATGTGACGCCTCTTCTCTACAGAGCTCAGTACATGTGAAAATTGTGTGGGTGCTTCTCCTGTCCTTTGACTCCCTGTGGAGATCTTGCTGTGGAGGGTGCCTGGTCCTTGGCACCTGTGTGAATCCACGTTGCAGGGAAATCACCCTTTGTGGAAATCTGTTCTTAAAAAGTCCTTTTGGAGATCTTCACATCTGGGGAGTTTCAAAAGTAAGGGATCTCAGTGTTTCAGAAAGCAAAGTTTTAAAGCAGGGAATCATGACCTTATGTGTAGTATAAGTACATGAAGAGGTGGGTTGGGGAGTATTGACTGTGGTTTCAGGCACGCTACTATGACTTTATTCAGTCCCTACTACCTCTCTGAAGCAGTGCCCACAGCGCTCACTTTACAGACAGAGAAATAGAGGCTAACTGCAGCCTCATCACACGCTTGGGGAGTGGGGGTTGAGGTGGACAGGATTCCAACCAAAGCCGAGGCCATGCTCAAGGTTCCCTGCTGCTGATTTGTGCCAGTATTTTCATGAGACAGGCTTTCTTTAACTTTTGAGAGCAGGCCCACTGGTTTATAGTTTAATCCCAACTTCTGACACCCTGGAGGTTGGCGTTCTGGGTTCTGAGAGTGTCTCCAGCCTTGCTCTCTTCAGTGTGAACCTCCAGTGGGTCTTGCAAGGTAACCTCTTCCACCCTTTTCCCAACACCTGTCAGTGCTGGGGAAATGTATTCTGTCCTGGTTTGGCTCTGAAATAGCTGAGGGGACAGAAGGAACAGAGGCAGGTGCCTTGCCTAGCCCATCCACAGTGAGTGCAGGAATGAAAGCAGTCCCTGGTCCCAAATGCCAGCTTTAAACCGGGCACCTCCAGTGCCTTCCTGGTGGCATAGAGGGTAAGCCTCAGCCCTAACAAGCTATCACCCTGTCCTCTGTACCCCTGACCTATACCCCAGTTCTTGTATACATAAATAAATAAAATATAAATCTTCAAAATAAAAAAAAAAATGAGCACCTTCAAATTGACTGCCTCTGAGTTCAGATGCATCTTCATTGAAAAGCATGATTAGTAGAATGGATACTGTCATTAACTCATTTAATTACCCTTCATTTGTGGAAAAAATATACTGAGAAAGTCCTGTTTAGAAAGTGAGAAGATTAAATATATTTTCTGTCTGTAATTGAAAATGTACCATGCACAGTGGCGGATGAATAGTGTTCCCAGAAAACCCCATGGAAGTGAAATGCTGGGAGGGAGTTTCTAGGGGTTGAGGTTGGTCTTCTTTGCAGCAGGACTTCTTGGAGCTTTAAAACGCTCATTCTCACTATGCATTTCTAAGATGTAGGGAGATGTAGTTTCAGCATTTCTGAGGTTTATGTGACTGTGAACATTCACAAAGTCTTGGGAGTCTAACTTTTTCTGGACCACACTGCAAAACCTAGGACTGGAAATTACTAATAAATATTACCTCCTTCCTTGTGCAGTGTTTTCTAGCTATTTCCTAATGGGTTTTCAGAGATCTCCTTCAAAGGGGTTTTCTTAGGGACAAAGGAGGACTTCATTTTTAGTTGTGGTGGGCAAGACTGGATAAGACTGGATGCCATCGACTGGGGAACATGAGTTATTGAAGAAACTTGGGAGAGCTTGAGACAAAGAATCACTTCATGAGTCCCTCCCCTTGGTTTCCAGAGCACCTATTTTCCTCAGGGAACATGGGAGTCCTGCACCTAGGTCCCCAAACAGCCAGCAATTCCCTGGCTTTCCTGTCTTTTCAACATGGCATGGTTATTAGAGAGCACAGCTTACCAGGGGCCTCATGGCATGGCTGCCTGTCATAAGAGCTTGAGCCAAGACTGACCCTGGGCCATGTGGCCAGATTACAGCCCTTTTTTCCATCCACAATCCCACTTAGGATGCTCGGGATCAATGAGTGATCTGATCATTCAAATCATACCAGAGAATGCTAGCACCATTTGCTCTCTCTCTTGGGATAAACCTGCCTTTTGAAGGCAATCTTTGCCTAATGATAGGGTTCCAGGCTCTGCTGCAGTGGAATGGAGAGATGGCTTTGACCAGTGGTGTCTTCCCAGGACCTCATGAACGATCCTCCATAAATCTACCTATTAACTACTCTGCCCTTCCAGGCGCACTATTGCGTTTGTGTATTCAGCAGGAAAATATTATGCTGCTCAGAGTAATGAACCTAATGTTCTGGAAGAACCAGGGGACCTAGGAGGTACTGACCTATTGCTACTTAATATCTACTCACCTGGACCACTGGGATCACAGAGGGAGTAACTTTACATAATGATCAGACCTCGCAGGGAGTGAGGCCTTACCAGACACCAGCTCTCATTCTGAGCACATATTAAGTTGCTTGTACATATTAAGTTGCTTAATCCTTCCAGTGACTCAGGAAAGGAGATGGTAGTTTTGTCTTCCCCAGTTTATAGAAGAGAAAAATGAGGACAGAGAAGCCAAAAGATGTGCCTACAGTCCCTGAGCTAAGAGGCGGAGTGCCAGGACTTGAACTCTAGTGACCCCACTGCAGGGTTTCCAGTTCTCCCCAGGCTGCCTGGAACAAGAAGGGCAGCCAGGACCTCAGAACTGCAGAGGCCTTTAGAGCGAGGTCTGTTTGTGCGGCTCAAGGCAAAGTACAAACTGGAAGCATATGCATCAAAATACAGACTCTGGAAGAAATGAATGTGCTATCCAAAGGAATGAATCTCAAATGGGTAATATTCAAAAATTAGTAGAGGATGCTGTGTTTGCCAGCAAATGTTTCCAACTCTCCCAAACATACTAACAAAAAGCACATAGAACAAAACAACAGAAACAATTGCTGTTATATAGAAAACCACCATGCAGGCAATCTCCTCTTCTGCTAGTGGATAAAATTGATAGTTCTAGAAATAAAGGGAGATAGACAAGGGATTTCAAAGTATGGAAGTGATTCTTTTTCTCATTTAATTCTATTTTTCCAAGAAACATGTTAATTTAGTGTAGAACTCATCCGGATGTCTTGATGGTCTTTCAGGAGTGGGACAGTCCCTGTGACTGTTCCCCAAAGACCATGAAAAATTCCCTTTGGGGAGTGTGTGGTGCATGCTCGGCAGGTGCTTTGCGGCCATTACTTCTTTTTGAACACCTGATGGCACACCTGGTCAAGGCACGTCAGCTCCTGCAATAACAGAAAGTGGGTGAGGAAATAACAAGCCCAAACTTCCTTCTATCCAGCCCTGGACCCTCTTGGTGTCAGTAGGTTGGGGGTAGGAGGACTGGAAAAAAAAGAGGACACTTAGTCATTCTGGGCAAAGAGTATCTCACACATCCAATCAACGGTCATGCCCTGCAGGTAGCAGTAATTTGATTTTGACACTTGAATTGAGCTTGAACAACTATAAAAATGAAAAAAATGCAATGAAATTACCCTCTTGGGCAGGATTTTTCCAAGTGTGGTGATTAAAGCAGCATCACCTAATTTACAAAAGTTAGTGAAGTCTTGAAGAAGGGAAGGTTCTAGAAGGGGGTAATATTTGGAAGGCAAGGAAAAACTTTGTCTTCCAAAGGCAAAGGTCTGAGAAGGTGCTGGCTGTGAGCTATACTTCCCTCCTTGGGATTTTCTGGCCCCCAGTCCAGGCATCAGGCAATGGCAGGGTGTGGGCTGCCAGAGGGTGTCTCCAGACCAGTCTGTGTAAACAAGATCTTCATCCAGTGAAAGGGGCCCTTAGGACTTATATATGCCTCCTGACCCTCTCAGGGAGGAGAGAAGAACCGAGAGGGGGATGGCCTCCAAATCATTAAGGTTGATGATGAATCCATTTTCTTAGCCACAGGGACTAGTAGGTATTTTACCAAGATTTAAAAAAAATCCATCATCCAAACCAGAGCAGGTAGGGAAAACTGTCAATGAAAAACAAGCTGAATGCCTCCCATTTATCACCTCTGGGAAGTGACAATGCTTCTGAAATAAAGGTCTCAGGTGAGGTAAGGCTGGCTCTAAAGGGTACTGTGGTGACCTGAATTCTGACTTTGGAGCCAGGTCTGTGTCTGACTCCACTGGTGAATGCAAAGTGAATGAATGATGAATGAAGAGACATTCATTTAGCAAATGACTGACTCAATATAGAGAGTAAAATATTTTTTTTCACTATTTGAATTCTGGACTGATAAATTGACTTTTAAGATTGAAGAAAGAAAAATTAAGCCACCTAGACAGATATCTTTTATTTGAGGATGCCAGTCATGGCTCTTTGCTAGTACCAAATTAACCTAAGCTTTTTGGCATCAGGTAGAGGAATTTATGATGAGCAGTCAGTGCCTGTGGTCTCCAGGCAGTTCCCAGAGTCAGCTTCCTGTCATCCATTCCTGCAAAAATCCTCTTGTTGCAGGCTCACATAAGTGGCCCCACCCTCCTCCAGGGCATCTTTATCCTGTGCCTTGTATTTCTCCCCAGCTGGTCTTTCACAGGTTCCTGCATTTCTCCTTGGTTCTTGGCTTCCTAACTCAGCATTTTGAACTTGTCTTTTAATTGCAGCTGTTCACAGAAACAGTCATATAGATTTCTTCCTGGAGTCCCCTGAGCCAGATGGGAATGGCTTTCTGACTATATGACCACACGCTTTTGGCTGGCGCTCAGGGGAGGAGTGCAGAGCCATTTTTCTTCTCAAAGCACCTGACTAGGTGAATGCAGTTTGTGTAAGTGTGGGGCAAGGAAAGGGAGGTGGGCAGAGCCCAGGACTTACCAGGTGCAGCTTGTCTCCCTCAACCCACTGCTTCCAGCCACGGTTCTCCTTTTCCCCCTTTTGCACGCACACGAGAACATTGCCTTCCCAGGTGACCAGTGACTGCAATGACAGATTCCCAGGTTGATCAGATGTCTGGGCTTGATTGAGGCGGAGCACAACCTGCAACTGTGACTCCTGTGGCCACCTCGGCTGCTGCTTGCCCATTGGGTAGAGCCCTCACCCAGTCTCAGCCTAGCCACTCTCATCTCATCCTTCCACTCTCATTTTCACATACGCCCTCTGTTCTAGCCCAACTGGCTGATCATGGCTGGTTTTGTTGTAGGAATTCTGCTTTCCCATGTTGCCCTGTGATAAAGCTAGCTATCCAAATCAGTAGAGAAAAGATACATTTGACTACATAATGATGTAGAATTTCTGGAAAGTGAAGCTCTCTCAAAGTCAACATAGAAATAACAAACTGAAAAATGAGAAAAATAATTGTAACACCTATTAGACAATGACCTGATTCCTTATCTATATAAAGGCCTCCTGTAAATCAAGAAGAAAAAGAATATTTACCTAACAGGAAATGCAACAAAAGATAAGAACCAACAGCATATATGGAAAAAGCAAAACCCTAGCAGATGGTCTTCAAACATAGGAAAAGATATTCAATCACTCATAATAGGAGGTATGCAAATTAAAGCTGCTTGTTTTTCAGATACAATTCATCATATTGTCAAAGGTCAGAGTGTGACAGCAGCAAGCTGGGGAGTGTGGAGAAGTGGGCACCCTCACACGGTTGGTGGATGTATAAATTCGTATGAATCTTTTTTACAGGGCAATTTTATATTACCTTTTGACACTTCAGAGTGTACACTCTTTAAAGGAAGAGGTGCAGCTTTAGATGCATGACTCTTTGGTAACCAGTTTACTTAGGGTCAGGATAATGTTTAATCTTGCTGCCCAAAATGAGTTATTAAAATAAAATATTAGTCCCTTGCACTAAGATTTTTCTCCTTTGTCCCATCTGCAAAATTTGCCAAGTCCCTACTATAAGTGGACCTGGATAAAGAAATGAATCAGACCCCCTTCTCTGTGCTCAGTGATCTTACCACCTCATGAGGAAGCAGACAACCAGCTTGAGCTGACCAGCAAGAAGGAGAAGCCACAAACAGACTGAACCCCAGAAGCTCAAACCTCCGTTTACGCACATAATTATACACCCCCTCCACTCCAACTCCTCCATTTGTTTTCCCTTTTTCCTTCCCATGTACCTGCCTTGGGATAATCTGTACCATCCCGCCTGCTCCTCCAGGTCCACCCTTCTGTCCCCAGATCAGACTGACACCTTCACCTCTGAGCTGCTGACATTCTCATCCAAGCAGTGGCTCTGTGTTGGTGCTGACCTTCCTGGGAGTGACTCCGATGCTATAGCTGGTTTTCTTCCAAGTGTGTGTGCAAGCCACATTCTGCCTTTACAAACAATAAGGCCCAGATGTTGATTTTCCTCTATGTCTTCTACACCCAGTTGGGGATACATTGATCTGCTTTTATTGTTGTTGTTGTTTTTTTTCCCAACTCACTGTCCTAACACACTCAGGTCTGTTTTTTGGTGTACATCTGTTTCTACAGATTGTTAAGTTTGCCTATTTTGAAAATAATATTTGACCTTAACTATAGTATATGTTTTATGAACACTTTTATTCCTCCTCATTTTATTCCTCAACATATTGAGCATTGTTTGCTACAGCCAAAGACTAGCAGCCTCATAAATTCTGTCAGTAGGAAGCTGGTTAAATATGGTGCGGTTCATGCCTGAAAGGAGGGGGAAGTCTATACCAAAGGAGAAGAGCCATCTTCAACGTGCATAGTTTCAGTAGAATGTAAAAAGCGAGGAACAGAACCCTGTGCATAAAACAAGGGTGGTATAGATACGTGCCTATGTTTATGTGCCCTGGAGGAAGTAAAGGAAACCTGGGCAGGGAACCTGAGGCGAGGAGCCAGGGTAGAAATCAAATGTCAATTTTTACTGTGTAAATGTTTTTTCTTACAAGCGCATTTGTTAATATTCCCCGATTGTGCCCAAAGTTCATTAAAAATAAAATTCCACATGTTTTCTTAAGAAACTCTGTAGCATCCTTCAGAGCCACCCTGTCACTGAGTGTCTTGGTGAAGCTTAATTCATAGGCTGCTCTCTTTGCTTTTCTGGGAAGGAAGTGTTGTCTGGAATATTCATGTGTCCTGGCCCATTGTCAGTGCTGGACTCTGAGTTCCTTTCCAAACAGATGAGAAGAACTCATGTCTTCTACTTGGGCAGGGGCCGTGTTTGCCAACACCCTCAGCCCCGCTCCTTCACACATTTTGTCCCTAATGCATGTTGATTGATTTGGTGTCTGTGTCTCCTATGGACAATAAACTCCACGGAGGAAGAGACCACGTCAGTTGTGCGTTTCTGCAATACCAGGTGCAGCATAACAACTAGCACATAGGAGGTACTGGGCAAGCATTGTTGAATGACCCTGTGATTGAATGATTTTGTTGAAACAGAATCTTGAGATAAGCCCAAAGAGGGGGATGGTGGGGAGGATACATGAGCACATGTGCTCTTCATTGATGATTGCTCTTGACAACCACTCAGCCTGACTGCCTCCTTGTCTTTGTTCCTGTTCTCTGTAGTGCCCACTTGTCCATCTATATGGACACTAGAGAGTGACTGTACATCTACTTGTCTGCTTCCTCATGAGGTGGTAAGATCTGTGAGCACAGAGAAGGGAGTCTTATTCATTTCTTTATCAATAGCTCTGCTTCTGATCCAAGTTCACATATAGTAGGGATTTGGCAAATTTTGCAGATGGGACAAAGGAGAAAAATCTTAGTGCAGGGGGACTAATATTTTATTTTAATAACTCATTTCTAGCAGCAAGATTAAAAGTTATCCTGACCCTGAGTAAACTGGTTACCGAAAAATCATGCATCTGAAGTATTATAACCCACATAACACAGTTAAGGAGAGAGAATTCAATGAACTCAAATTCCACAATTCAATTTGTCTTTAGCTGGCATCTTTCCCTTTATCAGAAGAGGCTTTAAAAAGAGGCTCAATTGCCTTAAAAGATTGTGAGGTTGAGCTGACGACAAGCCAGGAAAGCCATCACTTCTGAACCAGGACATGAACAGAGAGCACCCAAGGGGGATGCACTTCCAGAAATTGAAGAAGGAAGTTGGACTCACTTCTGCCATTTCCCCCTACCACCATGCTCAAAGTTAACATCATTATGGCCAGCCCTTTTATAGTATTAAAGATAGGGACTGGGCCAATGTTAAGTTTATAGAAATTGATAACTAGACTGTGGCTATATAAAAGCACACCCTAATTCTGAAGAAATACAAGCTGAATAATGCATTGTAATGCATCAGATTGTTCGTAAAAATGTATATAATGAGTAAAAAGCGTGCAAGTAGAAATGGGGCACAATGTTAACATTGGTAAAGTGCTGAGTGTATTTTGTTAGGGTCTTATACCTTTTCTGTATAGCTGAACCAGTCCCAATAAGTTTTCTTTTTTTTTTCCTTCTTATTTTAAGAAGACAGAACAAGCCTATAAATGAAAGCATGAAAGACACTACTAACACATTTAAATCCTCTCCAGTGTATCCGCCCATCAGCAAGAGTTACTCCTGCTAGGGACAGTGCCCACCCTCCCCTCTGGCATTTCCTGAGCTGGGGGCTTCCAGGAGGAGACTGGCCCCTGACTTCAAGAGCATCTCCCTGTATCATGCATTATTGGATCTGTCATATCTAGTCTGCCCCAGTTACTTAATTTTTCTTTTCAGTGATCTATAACTCACGTTTCATAAAACTCACTCTCGTAAAGCATACAAGTCAGAAAAACCATCACACTGTGTAAAATCCAGAAAAGAGCCATCACTCCCTAGAGAAACCCTTTATGGCAGAGCAACCCTTCCCCTCTGTACCTTGTCTCTATGGATTTGCCTATTTCCTGCACGTTTCTTACAAAGCACACAATGTGTGGCTGTCTGTGTCTGACTTCTTTCATTTATCACAGTGTCTTCCAAGTTGTTTCACATTATGTATGTGTCTGTACTTCATTATGTATGTGTCTGTACTTCCTTTTTACGACTGCATGATATTCCATTGAATAAATAACAGTATTTGCCTTTTCAATTGTATTTTGGGTATTTTTGAAGCAGCTTCAAGTTCTTGTAGAAACAAGTCAAGATAGGAGTTTAGGAATAAATATGATTCTTAGGAAGAAAGAAAGGAGACCTGGCCCACCTTGGAGAAGATCTGACCCCATGATCAATGTGATTTCACTGTCCTGCTCTGGGATAGCAGAGTGGGCACCATCGGGCCCTCTGCTGTAACTGCATTCATGCATCACTCTTCCAAACTGCTGAATGTAGAGGTTTTAAGAGGTGTTTATGAGGATAGAAAAGGAGATAAGGAGCAGAAACTTGGTGAGTAAGAGCACAAGAAGTAACACACACATGGGCCTGTACATGCATGATGTATCTGCATGCAAGCACACAGGCACAAAAATACACATGGAGACACAAGTCCATGCACATGCCCCCACGTGTGCAGGCACAAACACACATGCACACAGACACATTACTTGTGTGTGCACTCCAGTAGTTCACCACGGATGGGCAACAGAAGTCCGATAGACTCACTCACTCATCCTTGTCATCCATTTTCAGCCAAAGTGTTTCAGTTAAGTCACAGGAATTGGTGGTTCACAGGACACCTGCTCCAGGTTGCAATTCACAATTCACGGGAATAAACCTTTGCTGGAGATCGGGCAATGTGCTGACTTGGGAAATTGTCAACCTCTACTGGTTTCCTGATGTGCGTGTGTGTGTGTGTGAGAGAGAGAGAGAGAGAGAGAGAGAGAGAGAGAGAGAGAGAGAGAGAGAGAGAGAGAGAGAGCGCTACGACTTGGAAAAGGGGAATTCTGTTTCTCTAAGGGCTAAGAGCAGATGCTGAGGAGAGGATGGGATTTTGCAGGGAGGGAGGGTAGAAGGTGGAGAGACCGAAGAAAAGTAGGTATTAACAGAAGGAATCCTTAAGGGTGAGGAAGGGCAAAAAACACACGATTTATTTCAGGAAGAAACGAAGGTGATAAAGAATGAGTAAGACAGACTTGCTTTTCAACAGCCCACACCCAAAACTGAGAGGCAAAGGAAAATGAATCAGTTTGAGCCGATCAGGTTAGGACAGCAGAGTGATGCACAAATTCAGAAACAAGTTTTCCTACTGATTCTGGTGTCTGAAGAATGGGCCTTTCAGCCACAGAGTTCAGGAAAGCCTCTTCGCTCCATCAAGCCCTTGTGTGGGTTCTACAGGGGATGATCCTGGGCCAATAGCTTAGACTCTTGGGCCTAGATTGCTGTGGGGGAAGCATTTGCAAAGACCTTTTACTTCCCACTTTTCTTTAGCAAGCATCCCTAAGTGGAATTCCCCATTAACTTGAAATTATCAACGCCACAGGACAACTTGGTTGAGAAATAAAAAGTAGTCTGTTCTCTTGACTTTAGCTTTTCCTCCCACCCCAGTTCTTGCTTTGGGAAAGAGTTGAGACCTTTGACTTTGAACGGACTCGTGGAAGTACCCCCAGAAGAATTCCTGGGGAGGGTGGGGCTTCCAGTGAAAGGGGCAGGACAGGGTGGGGAAACCTGCTTTCTTGTGTGTTGGCCCTCTGCTGAGGGTGAGAACACCGATAATTGGGAACAGAACATTCAGTCCTGGCCCCCTCAGCTAGGGAACCAAGGCAGAGATCCAGGTGGCCCCACTAGCACAGAGGAATTGGGGTTATGCATTTGAAGTTGCCCATGTTGCATAACTGTGTGTGTGCAGTGAGCCAGTGGCAATGATTTAAGTGATGAGCTACAGTGCGGCCAGGCTACTCGGACCGTGCAGTCCCTGGGCTCGTGCATAATACTCCAAGTGGAGTGAAGCAATCCGTAGGGACAAATGGGGTTGGATTTCTCTCCAGTCTTATTTGTAGGAAATGACCAGGTGTAACCTGATCTGGAAAACTAAAGACAGATGTACTGAGCATGAGCCTGGACACCAGAGGGGTGGATCTCAGGCTGGGACACCTTGGGTAATGCTGAAGGACAGAGAACCTGCTCTAAGTCTGCTTTCCCCCCCCCCACTGCTCCCTGCTGCTTCCACACTCTGCTCCCCTGGGTAGTGCCTGCCTTTTCTGCAGACTTTCGGTCTTATGTTCTTGAACAGTGAGATAATGTATGCCCCATGCTGCACACGGTGATGCCTGCTCACATTCAGGGTCCAGCCGATATTCAAACAGCTCAGAGGCTGGCAGTCTCGCCTTCAGCTACACGGAGGATTTCCTCGCTTTTGTCTTGTGAGTTAAGGTGATGCTGTGAGAGAATCAACAAACTTGCCAGAGACTTCTGTAAATTACTAGGACAGGAGAACCCCTACTACATCTAATCTGGCATTTTTGTTTGATTTACATTTTATTTTTTTAAAAAATGTCAATTTGGATCACCTAAATTTGAGACATTTCTCATTAAAACATCTGATTTCTCAACAGATATAAAGAGAAAAAAATAGCGACAGGAAGCCTCATTGTTCCTTGTCAGTGCCTGGCTGGTGTTGGCTGCTCCTTTAAGCTAAGCTTCCAGAGGTTTCCCTCCGGGGGTATTTTGCCTTGCTCTCTTCACTTTGTCTGCTGGGCAGTGTCAGCTGAGGAGTGGGACGCTGACCCCACACCCCGGAGAGCTGACAACTTTCCCTGCTACAAAGTCTCAAGGATTTTATGGACAGCATCATCAGTCCATCATCCTGCTCTCCTTTTTCTGACTTCTGTGTTGTTCCTGTCATCAATTTATTGGGAAGCCACATAGCCGGCCCCTATGGATGAAAAAGAATCTCCAGCCCAGGCCAGTACCTGAACTTTCCGGTTATCCAGGCCCTTGGTGTACTCTTCAAACTCCTCGCCCACGATGAAATCCAAGTCATAGTTGCGGAATGTGCTGGTGGTTTTTGTCTTGAAGTTATCGCCGTTTTGATCAATGATCTTTGTCTGAGTCAGACGTACTGCGATCTTGCGGGTGGCAAAATCAATATCTGTTGGCAAAGGGAGTTGTGGAGGTTATGATGTACTCTGCTAGACCCATTTGTTTCTTTAACAAGGCTAACCCCTCAAGACCAGAGACACACAGATCATGGACCAGCCACATTTCTTTGCTTAAATGGGAAACAAGAGTTGTCTCACACTTGGCTCGTCTGGGCATCTTAGTCAATTGTCAGGAAAACTAGGATCTCTTTGTGTCTCCTTGGGAGTGCTGACAGGAGAGGGTTGTAGCAGGCAGGGCTCAGCCCTGAGCATGTGTGTTGCATGCACACACACACACACTCACAGCTCCACTACAGCAGCTTCCTTCTATCTATTTGACATTTTGGGTTTTGTCTTAAGCATTTGCTGAACAGCCGTCTTCATGACTTGAAAAAAAGAAAAAGGACTCGAAATGATTACCCGTTGAGATCTTTAGTTTAGATGGAACTTTTGTTAATGTTTACAGCAGGGAAGGATCCACTTCAAGCAGATCAGGGGTATACTTAGCTAGTACACCCCTCCTTCATGGGCAGTTTTATTTAACTTCAGCTCTTTGGCTTGTGGATTCGGCGTGTCTAAGCTGTGCACAATACAGGGCACAGGTCAGGGGTCTGCTAAATGCTCCTTCTTGGTGCTGTGAACGAAGAACCTGGCCCAGCATTTTCAGAGCTCAGGGTGCCATGTGGCTCAGCTCCATAAGACATGTGGTGGTTAGCAAAAATAGTGCATGGTCATCTAAATTTGGGAACTGAAGACTCAAAACCAAGAGTAACTGGTTCCTGCACTGAAGCACTTCACAGTCTTTAATCTAGAAAAGATGAATTGTATCCCAGAAGTGGGGTGCAGGGTGCAGCATTTCCCATCCTCATGTTGCTTTGAACCCCTCTGAAGTGGGACATGCAGCTGGGAGAGCATTTTCCAAAGCATAAGACAGAAAGGGCTACTAGCAAGAACCCTCAAAGACAGTCATCTTCGTCACCTTCAACCTGAAATTGTGGAAATAGCTCCTCTTTAATTTTTTTCCCTTTAAGCAACTGCTGGCCAGTTTGTAAGGAAGAAGACTAGACAGGACCAATTAGTCAAGTATTTCTTGATGAAGATGAAGCCTTCCTTAAAATTTTAAAGTACGAATAAAGAAATGTGTCCCAATTTAAGGCTATTTGTAAGGATTCAGTTAAAGTGACAATACGCACTTTACACAGTACCAGTGGGCTTGTGGGTATCGATGTTCATTGGCCTCTACCCCCTTCACTTTCCTGTTCAGGTCAGTGAGCTGACAGTGATCAGTCCAAAGTGAAATATTGTGGTCATCCATGTGCATCTCCACAGCCACCTGCGCTCCAGGGTCCAAGGGCCTTAGACTCTGAAGAAGCTGTCAAGAACGCTGGCTGCTCCACTCTGTCACTCATCTAACCTGGCCTGTCATCCGGGCACTTGATCTAGCCTGGCTGGAAATTGCCCCACCTGACTTGGCTTCCTCAATTCCACAGAAACAACTTTAGCTCTTGCTGTAGTCCCCAGGCCACACTCACCACACTGCTGGAACTGGCTAGGGGAAGGGAAAGAAAACCAGGGGTCACCATACAAGCCAAGTAAAAGAGGAGGGCCAGGCAGAGCTGGAAGAACTGGGAGTGACAGGGAAATATAGAATGGAAGCATTCATAAGTGCATTTTCATTCCACAGATGTGGATGTCAGGCTCACAGAATTTAAATGGTGGCTTCAGATTACCCGGCTAGGCCAGAGCTCCTGACGATTTTTCTACAAACACATTCATTATCATTCACATTATTATTCTTTACTGAGGCTCTCCTAACCAAAATGATAGCTTGTCCCTGATCTCTTACACCGATAGATCACAGCTAAAAATGTCTCCTGCTACAATGTCTATAGAGAACTGGTTTGCCCAGGAAACACTATCCCTAGTCAATCTTTCTGTCCAGCGCTAAGGGAATCTTATTAGGAGCTTCATGCAAATGGAATCCAGCATTACTGCTGCTTTGGATTGAAAAATGGCCTGACCTCTTGGCTACCCGTTAGCATTTGCACAGACTAGTTAATCATGTCGCCTCTGCCCCACCCCAGGGAAGGGAGCCAAATGTTCTGTTGGTGGATTCGTTTATTTCTAATCAAAAAGAAAGGTTTAACCACAGCTGTAAAATACACACACACACACACACACACACACACACAGATTACAACAATACTTTCTCTTTGCAGAGGAAATTATTTTCCTGATAGGGTATTTTAACACCAGGGTTATCGAGTATGTTTTATCTGCTCTTCTGGATTAAAGGTATCACTGAGTCTGATTTATTGCCAGGTGAAATGAATTTCTATCTCAGAGGAAAAGGTCCAAAGGCAAGCTGTTTCTGAATAATATATATGGCTTGTAGCTGCTGCAGAAGAAAAAAACAACACTGAAGTGACTTTATTAAAGCATACTTTTCATAACTGCATTTTGAACAATGCAAGCCATAAAGTTGAAATATGAGGTTGCTACTCAACATTAAAATACTTTGTAATATGCTTGGGAAGAAAGCTAAAGTTGCAGGCTAAAAGAGCAGACACTCTTTGTAAATTAAAGAGCAGAGATGCACAAGTATTCATCAAATGAAATCCAAGATCTATTCCAAGTACAGCTTCTCTGGGCTTTGAACCTGGACTCCTTAATTCTCAAATCATCAGCACTCTTAGGCAATCGAGAGAAGCAGAGTAGAAGGGCAATTTTCTCCTTTTTCCATATCATTTCCTCCTCCAGATACACATTTAGAGAGGGACTGGACTGGCGCCTGCCTGCCTCTTTGCTCATTCTCTCACGGACATCTCCAGATAGGTTGAAAACTTTCCCTAGTGAGTAGAGGCAGCTTCAAGAGTGGGGTATATCCCTCCTGTCCGTCACCCTGTCACCTCCCTGCCTGTGTCCAGTGTTCATCATGGGTGTGGGGGTCAGAGCATAGGTGCTCACAGTACAGGCAAGGGAAGACCAGAGGGAGGGGCCAAACTTATCTTCACCTGGGCTTATTCTGCTTCCTGGCATTTTGCTTGTTTAAAAATTCAACTGGATATCACATGGTTGGGGAAAGACTTGGCAACATGTATAATTTCACTGGCTGTGAGTACCAGCAGGAATCCATATTTTATGAAAATAAATTCTCCTTGTGTCATCAGACTCTTGCTTGCTTGCTCACTCACTCACTCTCTTATTCATTTCTACCCAAGGACCTGAGAGTCTCTCTCTCTTCCTGTCTGTCTACTTTAGGAGTTCCCATCCTGATAAACCTTGCTCAGAATGAAGGTCATCCTCCCCTGTCCCCAGGCTTACCACCCACACCTAGAACAGAGCCGTGGAAGCTGGGACAAACGGGAATCCCACGTGAGTGACACCATTTCCCAACCAAGGTGACCCAGGCAAGGCCCTCCATTTCTCTGGGCTTCAGACTCCTCATTCCATAAAATGGAAATCACACCTTCCAGCCTAATCCCTGAGGCAGCCTGAGCCCTACATCTTATACTGAAGAGCCAGCATCAATGCTCGCTTGGCCTTGCACTGGGCATCTGAATCAAAATATGCAAAACAGGATTGTTCACATCTTTCCTCCTGCCCAGGACTCTTGTCCAAACTCCCTGCTCTCCTAGTCTTCGACATTTCAGCTTGGAATTGCCATTTTCCTAGTCAGGCCTGTGCCTAAGTGCCAACTTCATTTCCTCTTGCTCCAAGTTCATCTACACACCTTGCTGGCTTTATCTACAAAAGGTGCCTTGAACTTGTCCCTTCTTGTCTTGCTGCAGGCCACTGCCCTGTAGCTAAGGCAGCAGTGTTTCTTGCCAGAGCAACAGAGTAGCCTCCTAAGGGGCTTCCCTACTGCTTCCTGTCTTTCCCCTCCACTAAGACTTTTTGCAGAGACCCCTGTGTGTGTTAATTTAAATGAAAAAAGAAAAAGGTTTTCATAGATCATTTCCTCACCTTCCTTTGTGAAGGGAAGGATTAATGTTTTCCTAATATTTATAATTATGGAATAAAAATGATCTAAAAGATGTCTGAAGTTAACATTAACTGAGCAATCTGAGGACACATACCTTCTAGTACACATCCCCATCCTTCTGATGAATGCTTCCTAGTGGTGCTTCATTTTCTAGACTCATTCCCTGCCTCTTCCCACCCAATGGTCACATCTAGTCTATTTCTTACTCTAGACACCGCCTGTCCACCCTTCTTGACTCTGCTCTCATTATCTTCCCATGGCCATTGCAAGCTCCTCTTCTGCTCTCTGATAGTCCTGGCCCATCTATTCACCCCCTCTCTCCTCCATGGGCATTTCCTGTCCTTGCAGATGAAGAGTAACCTTGATGGCACATTGTCTTCAAGATCTGACCCTGTCTAGACCCTTCTCTCACCCTCCCCTGCACATCGACTTTTGGTAATACAACTGCTTCTGTTCCCTGCTCATGCCATGTTCGTAGGCCACCATTGCATAGACCCACAAGGCCACCTGTGACTCCATCTCTGCTTCCTTCAAAACAACTCCACCCCGAAGCCCTCAGAGAACCTTCATGAGCCTCATTTTAAACCCCTCTCCACCACCTGCACACACTTATTACAGTTGTTTTATAGTTATCTCAGCTCTGTCAGGCCTCACTTTGGTGAGGCCCATATCTTCCAAGCAATGACAAACAATTATGAAATGACTTGTTATTTCAAACCACTACATTTTGCTGTGATTTGTCACCTCAAAGTAGAAACCTGGAATACCACATTTACATTACTCTAACTCGATGGTCTGCACCAGTCAAGCTCCTTGAGAACAGAGACTGGACTGGGTTCTGCCACAGGCAGCACAGACCTTTGCAGCCACAGGTAACATCTAAAACTTAGGTGGAGAGGTTGAATGGTTCCCCATCTACTGGCCATGCTGGCATCACAGCATTCTGTGGACTGCCCCCCATCATTTTGCCATAGAATTGGGGCCTCAGATTACAGACCACTCTTCCTTTACTCTTGTGCCCTGATCCAACATGAAATAGGACCTCAGGGCCTAACCTACCAGCTGCTTTCCTTGCTGTCAAGAAGATTCTAGGGCCTCAGTGAAGATTCTAGGGCCTCAGTGAAGACAGGGTATTTTAGAATGAGGGGAACAGGGTGGCACTGACCCTTGGTACTCACTCTGACCACTTAATTACATGGAAAATGTGGAGCGCGCTCTGCTGCCATGCCCTGTCACTTTGCTGAGCTGGTGAGTGAGCTCTGTGGGAGCTCGCTATGTGCAGTGAGTCACTTGGCTGGTGACACAGCCAGTCCTTGCCTAGCCCACAGCTCAGTTGGAATTCTTCCCGGCACACAGAGCCAGCAAGCAGGTCCCAGAGAAAGCTGGTTCCTGGTGCTGGGGATTAAAACCCAAGAAGATGACTGTCTTTGGGCAGGGAACTGAGTTATGCTTAGTGATATTTACACGTCTGGGGATTTGTAGAGATCTCCACATATGTTCCAAATGCCAAGGGCCTCACACTCAAAAGGCCAAGGGAGGCAAGCTTCATTGATTTGTCAATGCTAGGAAAGCAACCCTGCCTTGCGGGGTGGATATGGAAGAAACTGCTAAGGTGCTGTGTTTAGAAAAAGGATACTTTCTAGAGAGATAATGGTGCCCTGTGTATGTCTCCACTTCCCCAGAGGGCAAAAGGAGTGGGGACAGGAGTGCTTGCCTCTCACTTCAGGGCCCCCCTCTGATGACCTGAAAAACTACAGTGGGTCTGGATTTTATATCTAAAATCTTCATAACACTTTTTATTATTGAAGAATAAGCCACAACATTGTACACAAAACTGCCTTCTGAATATATTCCCTGAATCCAGCCTGTTTAGCATACTGCTGAAACCTCCAAACAACCCTTGTTGAGGTGCTTTCAATCATTCAGAGTGACAGCCACATCACACATCAATGGGAACAACAAGCAAGAAGAAACTAATTCTGAATGTTTAGAAATTTGGTGAAGGTGAGGAGAAAGCTTCAGCGCTGCCAGTCCTTCTGATCCAACCTGTGTGATCAGGCTCGGAATTTACCTTCCTGAGCTAAGTGCTAGGCCATTTCCCACTTAACACTCAGAACCCCTTTTCCACTGCTCACTTAGGGTTCTAAAAATAAAAGCAACAGGGCTGGGTTTCTGGTAGGATTTTTGTCTCCTCCCACCTCCCTAAGTATACTGAGGTACAATTCTGATGGCCTGGCAGGCAGGCAGTGTAGGAAGGCTGTCTAAAGTACATGAACAAAGCTCCTCTTTGCAACTGTGAAACTTCGCAACTCTCTTTGTTCATTGACACAGGGGAATGTTCAAGGTAGGACTTCACTGCCCAGGAAAACCCATGATTCTCCTTGATGAGTTGCCCTTCATCAGACCCAGATATCTGAGCCTCTGACCCACCCCAGCCATTTTTCTCATCCTGTGCTGGGGCATGTTCCAGCCAGGATTCCTTGTATGGAAAGCTTTAAAGCAGAAAAAGGAAGGAAGGCACTGCAGGAAGGCTCTTCAGGGTAAAAGTAGGCCAGGCAGCCTAAGCTCCTTGAACAGTGTCTGGCCACAATGGCTGCCTAGCAAAGTGACTGGGCCCCATCTCCCTGCTGTCACTAGAACCCATAGGCCAGAGGACAGAGGTCTGTGTTTTCTGCCAGCCCCACAAGAGACCTCACCAGAGAGTTAGCACATATATGGATGAAGACTTGGCCTAGAATCTCGTTCAAAAGTTAATTAGTATTGAGTGGTTTGATCATAGGATGAAAGGCTCTCTTAGCTGTCTGTGGGTCTGATTTTCTCTAGACTAAGAAGAGACTTGTTAGCTACTCCTTTCTGCTTCCCTAATATAAGACTGACAAGAGCAATCAATGCAGGGGTTACTCATGGAAAATACCAGGTCTCTCTGGTTAGCTAAGAGATGGCTATCAAAGGCAGGGGAGATACTGCATTGGCCCTTCTGCTGTGGCCTTACTCTGTGTGTGCAGGTGTATGTGTGTGTGCATGTGTGTGTGTGTGCATGTATACTTCATTCAGTGCATCTTTTCTGTGTGCCAGGTGCTATGCTAAGACATTCTAGACAATCTCATTTGTTATTATTTCTCACTTTCAGAAAAATGAAATGAGCCTCAGAGATTTTGTTTGACTTACCGGATACTACAAAGCTAGTCAGTGAGGAGTGAGGATTTGCACCCAGGTTTGTGGAGCTCCACAATGACGCTGTCTGGAGGAGCAGATCACAGTTCTCTCATAACCCTTCCTCCCCCAATTCCGGCTTCCTGCTTACCCAGGGCCTTCATGTAGCCTTCAAAGTTTTCATTACTCTCCATCTCCCAGGTTCCATTCTGGTCCTTCGTCATGGTTGTGGCCTCTGGTTCAGGTGGGTGTGTGGTGGACAGGAAGGAGCAGGCTGCAAGAAGAATGTGTTGGAGTGAGCTACTTTTATAGCCTAGCCACCAGACTTACAGCTTTGAAGATAATAGGTTCAAAGGTCACAAGGACAACCCAAAGGAACTTTCCTTTCCCTTGCAAAGTTCAGCAGGACTATAGGCAAACTCAAAGCCCTGACGTGGCCAGGCATAGGTATCCCGGTGAACTTTGCCACATACAGAATGCAAGAGCAGCTCATTTTTGACCAAAGCTGTGCTTTGGAGTAAAATACCCAATGTTTACCTGGGGTCCATGTAACCAATGCTTTGCTAAATGGTGATTCCAAGAAAATGGAAACTCACACCTACAGAGCTCTATTACACCCAGTGCCGGGAATGCATCGTGTTATCGCACAGGTGTTGTGTGTTATCTTTAGCCATATCCATTTTACAAATGGATAAAGCTCAAAGAGATTCAATCATATACTAATAATAGCCAGGAAGTGGCTGTGTTGGGATTCAAACCAGGTCTGCTGACTCCAAAGTTCTTTCCTTAACAGTATGCTATGGTCAACTTGGAAAATGGGTCTGTCACTCTTGCTTCCCAGAAAGTTACCTGAAGGGCCTCTGAGTAGCGGTGTTAGATAAGAAAGCAAGCTCTGGGAGAATGACTCTGCTGAAAACAGGCTATGTGTGGAAGGAGGTCAGATGGGAGGCTGTGGGTTGGCAGGACTATGCTTGAAGACCTCAGGGGCCAGTGGAGGATCACCTTGACCAAGACAGCTGGCACTTGAAGAAGGACCATGGTTCAGGCCTGAGCCAGTGGAGCAGTAAATGGGCTGGTTTACTGCTAGGCCACATGGTTCTGAGAAATGAGGCTTAAGCAGGGGCCCCTACACAATGAAGAACAGCACTATGGGCTGAAATGGATAAGCCACAAATTCCCAAAAGCGAGGCCAATTTTGATGATGACTCTTTGGGGGCTCAAATGTATGTATTCTTGTGTTGTAAAATCGAAACAAATGGTTCTGCCTATGTGAGGCTTGGGGGATATAAAATAGCATGTTTGTTTTTTAGACAATATAGTAGAGATAGGAAGACACAGAGTAAAATATGGCCCAGCTGTTGTCAAAGGGCCAAAGTAGGATCAAGAGAAGAAAGGAGTAAGGAACAACTCCCCCCAAATGGAAAATAAACAAAGGCAGCAAAAGTGGACAGAGGGAGACTTGGGCTTCATTCTTTGGGGTTCATCTATAAGCTGCGCTGTCTGAGCACTCCATCTCTTGGGTTGGAGAGGAAGGAGTTCCCCTCTATGTTCAGGTACAGGGGTCTCTATGCAGCCCTCCTACACCCAGTTGAGCCCCCTATTTTGAAGAAAAATAATTGGTCTGGTTGTGGAAGAGGTGGGGGGGGCAAGAATGGGGCTGCTGATTGCAATAAACCAGAGATTTGGGTTTTGAGGAGTAGGGGTAGGAGGCCATTCACTTTGTGCAAGCAGGGAGTTAGCACTGACATGCTTGCATAAAGCCAAAACACTTGAAGACTACACCCTCAGTGAGAGTGTGAAATAGCTAAAACCTGTCAAGAGACAACACTAAATGGTGGCTATTTAGGTGGGATCTTGTGAATTTAAAAAGTGTCTGCTGCTCTTCCTCTGGGTTTGGGTTTTTGCATAAGCTTTCTGTGAAAGTAAAAGGAGTGACGAACTTTCAATACTTCATGCTACTAGGAAGGAGTTAATGTAAAAATTACCCAGAAGGATCCATATTTAGAGCTGGCTCACCAGAATTATCTGTGATAAAACCCTACCAACTGAAAATTCAAAATCCATAATGGTAAGACTCACATGAAATGAGTCCACCAAAAAGCAAATATCAGCAGAAATATACAGCAAAATTAGACTTCCAAGGACTTCAGATAAGAAAACGATCAGATACAATTATCAATATGTTGTTAGTGAGTAAAGCCATTTTATATTTTGAATCATGAAAATAAATAAAATTTTTAAACAGTTAAAATATATCCAGAAAGTGAGCCCTCCCTGGTGGACAGCGGGGTAAAGCACAGTAGTAAGAAGTGAAAGCCACTTCAGCATGAGTTCGATTCCCGCCAGCCCCGGAGGTGACCACATGGCACGGCAGACCTCTCCTGGCCCGCCCGCTGCTCCCCTCAGCGGTATACTTCTTTGATCTCACTGTTCTGCTCCCCACTCTGTGTCTGGTGGGGCCTCTCGCCGCCCCTGAGCCTCTGGCCTGTACCCCAGTTCTGTATGCACAAATAAATAAATAAATCTTAATAAATAAGTAAATAAATTTGCAACATCAAAATGAAAACAAAATTTTAAAATCTTTTGGAGAAAGATAGATTACCTATAAAGAAACAAAACAATAATGAGATTGATATTACTTCTCAACAATTCTGATGGGAGACAACAATAGCATAATATATCAAAATAATGTGGGGAAATGGATTTGAATAAGAACTCTAAACTATTTGTAAAGATATAAGGATTTTAAAGTTAGATAATTTCAGACATAATACCCCAATTGACAAGTTAATGGATAAACAAATTGTTTATCATATGACATATGTACGTCATATGTTTCAGCTGATGATGGACCAGATATGTGATGGTGGCTGTCATATATGGTTTTGGTGTGTGGGACACTATATCAACCAGCTTGTGTAAGTACACACTATGATATTTGCACAGTGACAAAATTGCTTAAGAATGCATTTTTCGGGCCCTCCCTGGTGGCGCAGCGGGTTAATGCACTGCACTAAGAAGCTAAAGCCACTTCCACATGAGTTCGATTCCCGCCTGCCCTGGAGGTGACCACATGGCGTGGCAGACCTCTCCTGACCTGCCTGCTGCTCCCCTCAGCAGTGTGTTTCATCGATCTGCCTGTTCTGCTCCCTGCTCTCTTTCTGGTGAATCCTCTCACCCTCCGCATCTCTGGCCTGTACCCCAGTTCTGTATGAATAAATAAATAAATCTTTAAAAAAAAAATCTACTTAAAAAAAAAAAAGAATGCATTTGTCAGGACATACCCTCATTGTTAAGAGATACATGACTATAATCACACAGTGGATTACAACTTAACAGTAAAATGGAACAATCTCTCGATAACACATAACAACATTGATAAGTCACATACATACATAAAATGAAAAGAAACTTAACACAAATCTAATTTACAGTGGTATAAAATAATCCAGAGCTTTGGTGGACATGGTGAAGGAGGTAAGGGTAGGAAACAGCACGAAGGAAATTTCTCAGGGAGGAAGGATGAAAATGTTCTATAGTTTGAGATGGAGGGTGTATGAAATTGTGAAAACTCAAAATCTGTAATTGATATCTGACTTTTTATTCTATATAAGTTACACTAATAAAAGTGTTTTTGTATTAAGTTATTTATTTATGATTGTTCATACAAAAAATTTTAGTGTCAAACCAAACTAAAGCCCTATATTATAACCTCATGAGAAATTAGCTGACTGAAGTACAATAAGTATGTGCTAAGGAGGCTGTAATTATAGATTGATGAAAGTTTGCAAGAAATAGAATTTTAAATATATATATATATTAAAGATTTATTTCTGCATACAAGAACTGGGGTACAGGCCAGAGGTTTGGGGGTGAGAGAATTCACCAGAGGCAGAGTGGGGAGCAGAACAGGCAGGTCTACTGAAATACATTGCTGAGGGGAGCATCCGACAAGGAGAAGTCTGCTTTGCCCTGTGGGTCACCTCCCTGACCATGGATAGAACTCGTGTGGTAGTGGCTGCTGATAGCTTATAGTGCTACACTTTAACCCATTGTGTCATGAGGGAGGGTCTGAAATAGAAATTTAAATATGATTTTAAGAACAAGAGGCGCTATCACTGGTGGCCTATGGGTTAAGTCTCAGGGCTATCACCGCTAAGGCCTGAGTTCAATCTTCATCCAGGGAGTTAATCACATATGGTGCAGCAGACCTCTCCTGTCTCACCTGTTGCTCTGCTTCCCTTAGTAGTGTATTTCAGAAATCTACCTGTTGCGTATCTGGAAAATCTGCTCACCCCCCCCCCACACACACACCTCTGTCCTACACCCCAGTTCTTCTACACAAAAGAAAAAACAACCTTAAGTACAACCTCTAAACAGTGTGTTCAAACTCCAGCAAGTGTTAGATTCATCAGAAAATCTCTCAACAGAGATTGTTGGGAGACACTCCAACAATCAGGGCTTAGAACAAAGAAGTTACATTTCTACCAAATTGTAGGTGGTATGGGTCCTGCTGGTTCTACTGCAACTTGAGGGTGATAGAAATAGAAGAGAAAAATCAATGGAGAGAAAAACTGAAAAGAGATTTTGGAGTTGGCCACACCCAGTTTTAAATCTAGGTTTTGCTACTCAGCAGTAGGACTCCTGACACTTCCCTTCTCACAGCTTCGGATTCATGCTTTGAATCTCAAGTTGTCATATGCATTGAAGGAGAAAAGAAACACAACACTCTTACCAGAGTCCCTGGCACACTGCATGTGCTTATTTCCTGGGAGTGGCTGTGCGCAGAATCATAGATGAAGCTCCTGGCGAGTGTTTAACTTGTTACACACAGTCCTCAGCAAACACAGCTTTAGCACCTCAGTCTCAGTTGTGCAGATAGAGATGGGGGAGAGGTAGGAGGAAAAGTGACGGCTGGTGGCAAGCAAAAGCACTTGCCACTCAACTCAGTGCATATGGTCCCCTTTGCCTTCACTTACGAAGGATCACCTGTTTTAGAGGAGGCAGCAAAGCCCCAAGTTTAGAAGTTCTGTCCTCAGGCCCCTTAACTCTGTCTACGCATGTGGACAAATTACTATCTGGAAGGTCCATTTCCCCAGATGCCTGGGTGAATCCGCTTCTGACTTTATTTACATAATTCTTTGTGGCATCCCTTGGGTGCCTCTTCTGACTGGGAAAGCTCACCAGCGATCTTTCTGGGTTGCAAGAACCTTTCTTTCTGGAAACCACCCTAAAGAGGTTCCCATGAAGCCTGGGTCTGAGAGTAATTTATCAGGTAAGAACAAGCATGACAAAGTTCCCAAGTGTTTACCTGAAGTCCTCAGGAGGGTCTGACAGCTGGCATCAGGTTCTTTGGCTGACTCCTTGGTTGACTCCTTGGCTGGCTTCCTGGCTGGGCATGAAGTCAGGCAGCTTTCTGGCCCAGGCCTGCCCAACTCCACCTTGCTCTCTCCTCCCTTGTGATGTGAGAAGGTGTTTCCTCAGCAGGCAAATGTGGTCTGCCGGAAGCTCACTCAGCTTCTGCACAGGGCTCGCTTCTTTCCTTCCATTTGGGCAATGCCCTTAACCCTGTGGCTGACTGTCACTTGTGGCCCAAATGGATGTGCTTGTTAAAGAATCAAAATGTTGCGTCCCCTCAGGTCAAAGTGCAGCACTGCAAGCTCGCTGCAGCCGCTTCAGTACAGTTGGATTCCTGCCCCAGAGCTGACCCACATGGCCCAGCACACCTCTCCTGTCTCCCCTGCTGCTCCCCTCAGCAGTGCACTTTCTTTGTCAATCTGCCTGTTCTGCTCCCCACTCTGTCTCTGGTGAATCCTCTCACCCCCTGCACCTCTGGCCTGTACCCCAGTCTATACCCCATAAATAAATAAATCTCTAAAAAAAACAAAAACAAAACAAAACAAAAAAAAACAGCATCAAATTGCTTTATCAGATATGGCTTTCCCTGGAGATCCTGGAAGAAGGGAGTTCCTTCCCAGGACAGTCTGGCCTTGCTTCAGCTTTTATGTAAATTGTTCCCCTTCAGTTCTGTTCTCAAAAGTGTGGCCAGGAGAGCAGGTCATACACCCATATTCCATTTACTTTAGGACGTACAGCCATGTACATTCTACACTTGCATGTTATTAAATTTGCTCTTTTCTCTGATTAATCTGACTTTCCAGGACCACAGGGATGAATTGCTCAGGTCCAGGAAGGGGCCCACTTGCAATCCTCTTGTCCTCCTCTCTCTCATCCCAACCCTCCCCAATCAAAAATAGGTCTGCCAGAAGGAATTGTCCCTGCCTTCCCTCCACAGGCTTTTGGAATGCCTTTGGCAGACCACTCAATGGGAACCGCTTCCCACCGGCCTTTCCTTTTATCAGAGTAGGGAAGGCGGCATCAATTTCCCCAGAAGTGTTGAGACATTTTCCTCATGAGGTTCAGAGTAGGTCTTTTCCTGTATGTGTAACCTTGGTATGTGGAACTAAGGTCAACTGAGGCCTGGGGAACTTCAGGAGAAGTGGATACCATCACTTAAAGAATGCAAATAACCTAGATTTAGGTTATTGTCTCAAGAAACAACTTTTTTTTTTATCAGAGAAACCCATCTTAACGCAATGTCTGTTAGATGAAGTCGTCCCCTGCTTTCCATGTGAGATGCCCTTCTCTCTCCTTGACACTCTGGGTCCAGTAGATTAGGGTAGAAAACTCCCATTCATTCCATTTACTTTAGGATTAATAGTCATGTGTATTCTACATTTGCATATTATTAAATTCCATCTTTGAATTTGTCTGATGTTAATTTGTCCAGCCTCAGAAGAACCCAGAGGGGAAAGGGAATTCCCTCTGAACCCCAACAGAAATATCTGACAATTAGGCAAAATCTGCTTATTTATCATCTCTCTCTGAGAATTGGGGCCATATCCCTAGTGCTTAGTATTTGGTAGATGAGGCTAGATGTTTGGGAAGTGAAGACTGCTTATCTTGAGTGTGAGTGGGGAAAGGTCTTTCTGCCACAGAAAGGCCCAATTTCCTGCATATTTCCAGGGGCAGAAGGACAAAGGGACTTTGACTTCCAGTGATGTGATGAGCTACTGGCGTTCTTTCTTTTCTAAGATTTCACATTAAATGAAAACATTGGTGAGTTAATTGATAAGATACTGGTCTATATACTCTTGCACCATTTATCAAATGTCATTCGATGTGTTAAAATCAATGAATATGTGCACATTCAAAAACTTTTATTATGAAGAGTTTTGTTTCCAATAGCAACTGTGACCTTCCTTTGCGTGTGCTGCATATTTGTCCACCTTGTATCATTTAACTCTCTCTCACAGGAATGCTGTGAGGAATAAGTATTGGAATTCTCACTTAGGATGATCAAGATGAGATTCAGAGATGTTAAGTGACTTCCCAAAGTTCACACCGCTAGTGGGAAGACTGCAGACATAAATTTAAATATTCTTCTCACTGGTCTATGAAATCTTGTTTTCTAATTGAAGAAAATATTTTCTTTCAAAGGGAATGCTGAGGATTACATTGGCTAGTGATCGAAAAGAGTGTCGTGCAGGGGTTCTCGCACATTGGTCCCAACACAGTCAGCTAGTGAACTTGGTACAAACACAGAGGCTGTGTCTGTTCAAATTTAAGGATGTCGGGTCTCTCTTCGCCTCATCATCTCCCCGGGTGACTCTAATACCCATCAAGAAGTGAGAAGCCTTGATATAGCACATTATATACACAAAAACATGGGGAGTTTCCCATAAGGGTCAGGTAAGGCGACAATAGAGGGTGAGTAACTAATGGCGCTGGGCCAGAGGAAGTTTTGTGGTTCTAACACCACCTCAGGGGTGTGTAAATACTGCCCCCTGGGACTAGCAAAAAGCCAGGTCTCTGGAACAGGTAGTGGTAACAGCGTTGGCCACAGCCACCCTTATGTCCACTGTAGCCTTAATGCAGCCACTAGGAGCATGTCTCATGTGTGGACCAATGCTGGAATGCTGGCCAGCAGCACAGGTAGTACTGAGCTTGACCTGGCAGGTTGCCCATCACAGCCTTGGGTGTGAGTCAGATTAACTATTTCCCTGTGTGAGGCTACAGGGGCCAGGCAAATCTGTTCCATCTGCTGATGGAGGTGGGACCAGACCCAGACCCTCTTAGACCCTGAGTCATTGGGTTAATCTTCACCTAGTGTCTACAAAGGAATCTGGGAGTTCCTTTACCTTCCAGGTTTTGCTGGTGGTGCTTTAGTTTTTATGTAAATTGTGACCTTGTGTACTTTTGTTCCTAGAAAGCAGACCAGCAGAGCAGGCTACAAGCCCTCACTTCTTCCAGAGCCATAAGGATCAAAGTGCTGGGGCCAGGAAGGGGAATACTCATAGCTCTTGGCCTCTCCCCAGCCACCCTTCAACTAAGAGTTGGAAGAAGGCTTGAGAGCTGGCAGGGGTCATATCAAGCTACCTCTTCCCAAAGGGGCTGTCCTTGCCTCTCTCCCAAAAATCCCTGACCTGTCCTTGGCAATCCCACCCAATAGAAACTGCGTCCCATGGACCTTTCTTTACATTAAACCTAAAGAATGCCTGGCATTTCTTCTAATAGAACCTGGAAATCTTTCAAAATCAACTTGTATGATCTGCTTCATTCTTATTTATTCACATTTTATCGCTTTTTTGAATAGATAACATTCACAGTGTTTGAAATTCAAGTCATATGAAAAAAATATACAATGAAAAGTCTTTCACCTATATTCCGTTCCCACTGTGGTTACTGCCAAACCAGAAAAGTTTTATATTAATTTCTTGTGTATCTCCAGAGCTTCTTTATATACCGAAACTCAAATCAAAAGATGTTTCTCTCTTGCCTTTTTATCTAACAAGTCAAATATAACAAACTTAGGGCCCCACTTTTAAAATAAATTTACCTTGATAAAGTTTTCCATAGCAACAGAGAATTTCTCATTCTTTCTTTTTGCTGTGTAGCATCCCACTGACTATTACATAATTGCTGCTATTAATTAGCCAATCTAGTCAAAGCTTTTTTGAATTGTTTACTATTTCTTGTAACTGCAAAAAAGCTACCTGATCTATCTTATACCTATATTTTTATGCACCTTACAGAAAAATGTCAAAGTTATTTCCAAGTAGATATTTCTAGTATACGACAGTTCTTATTTTATCACATTCTTGGCAACCCTGTGTATTAGAAATATTTTAAAAAATATTTGTCAATCAGATATGTTTGTAAAAATGCATTTGATTGCTTTAATAATTATAAAATTCAGTTTTATAGTATTGGACTATTTAAATATTCTTTATCAGTAGTACAATTAAGCATATTTTCAAATGTCGGTGAGACTTTTTCTGTGAGTTATTTTTTTCTGTGTTCCATGTTCACTTTTAAATTAGATTATTGGTCTTTATGAATTTAAAGAGTTTTTTTTATACATTTAGGAAATTAATCTTATATAGGTATTAAAATATTTTTCTCAGTCCTTGTTTGTCTTTTGCTTTTATTATACTTGTTTAATATTTTTATACTTTTTTTTCCAAAATGGAGCTTATAGATGTTTTAAATGTCAAAGTAATACAAGGCTAATAGTCAAAGTAGAAGTCTTTTGTCCCACCAATATATGTCAAGTTCATAGAAACAACTGTTTTCATCTCTTAGCTGTTCCTCTGCCACTTGCCTCCACATTTCTAAATCAATAAGTCACTTTTCTTTACTTAATCAATTTTATATATTTTCTGTTGTCTTCCATCAACAACTGTTGAACTAAATTTAGCACTTATTATACCAGTTCCTTCCCTTTGCATATATGCATTTATTTTATCTCTTTGCTCTCTCTCTTTAGTCATGCTCCATATTATGACAGGTCTATTCAAACAGAGATCACATAGGTGGTAGTGGTTCTCAAAATCCTCTGCCTAATGACATCATAGCTTAATGTCATAGCATTTTGTAGGCAGCAGCCTTATACATCTCATGTTCACTGTTTCTCTTGATAGCCTCAGGTTGTTTTGTTCATCAGGCTCCAAACTATACAAAATTCACTATTAATGTGCATTCATACAATGATGAAATTGCCTAAAGATGCATTTCTTTTTTTTCTTTAATTTTATAACAGTTTATTTTTACATCATTTTGTACATTTTTTTTTTCATCTCAATTGTAATCCCTGCGGGTTTCCCATCACCAAGTCACCGTGTGTGCCATCACCATAATCCTGTGCACTTCCCTCCCCACCCCCCCATGTTTGATCCCATTCCCCACTCCACCCCCACAAAATGTCTCTGGGATATGGTTGTTCATTATTTTTGTTATTTTCTCGCCTGGTCCATTATACTCCTGCTATGAGTGAAACCATCCAGTCGGTTTTTTTCTTTCTCTTTCTGGCTTATCTCA